CAAAAATATAAATATCAAACACATCTCCCAGACCACCACAAAAAAAAACATATAAAGAACAAACATATTACCTTGAAAAGTCATTTTTTCTATTTCAATTACTGTTAATAAAACAACAAATTTTGTTTTGGTGCGTTTTCTTTTTCTTTTAATTAGTATATATATGTAAGTTTGTTTTATCTTCCGTTGAGGTTAGCAAACTGAGTAAACATAGCTGTTCCAGAGTGTTCGTCCACGGCCTGAACCTCGGCTGCGCCATTGTCCTCTTCCACCTTAGAAGTCACGGGAACACTAGCCGCCGCATTGGTGGTGGCTGAGGGAGTGATCGGAGATGGAGAAACTGGCGGCACATCACCAGATGTAACTGGCTTAGCGTTCTCAGTCTCCTCGGCTTTGCCCTGAGTGAATGCCTCTTGAAGCTGAAGAGCATATTCCAAGTTCCACAGAACATCTCCCATTGTTGGTCTATCAACACCGTAATCTTCCAAACACTTCTCTGCAGCTTCCGCAAACTTCTTCATCGATTCAGGATTTATCGTTCCAGCCAAATGAGGATCGATGATCTTTTCGAGCAGTCCTTTTCGTTTCCATTGCATAGCCCATTCAGCTAAGTTAACCTGTTCCCTTGGTAGCGAAGGATTGATGGCTGGTCTTGCGCACAGAGCTTCCAGAAGAACAACACCAAAGGAATAAACATCGGATTTATCGGTAAGTTGTTGTCTTCTAAAGTATTCGGGGTCTAGGTACCCGAAACTTCCTTTCACGGCTGTGCTGACATGGTTTTGTCCAAAGGCTACATCTTTAGAAAGACCAAAGTCAGCGACTTTGGCAACAAAAGCCTCGTCGAGAAGAATGTTGGTGGATTTGACGTCACGGTGGATAATCCCTTGAGCTGTTCCTGTGTGTAAGTAGTGAAGCCCACGTGCAGATCCGATACAGATCTCGAGCCGCTGTTTCCAGGTCAGAGGAGCTAGGTTCTTTCCGTACAAGTGGTCTCTGAATGGACCATTGGACATGAACTCATAGACTAGGATCATCTCTGAGTTCTCGTCACAGTATCCAATCAAGGAGACCAAGTGTCTGTGTCTGAGCTTAGAAAGCATCTGAATCTCTGTCTGAAACTCAGTGATACCTTGTTCAGACTGTGGGTTACCTCGTTTGACAGCAACTTTGGTTCCATCGTCGAGGGTTCCGATATAGACGTTACCAAATCCTCCAACACCGATAATCTGAGATGCTTCGAAGTTCTTAGTGGCTTCTTGAAGCTCTGAAAGAGAGAAATAGCGGCCGAGGCCAAGAGTTGAGTTGTAGAAGTTGGACTTCTGCGAACCACCTTTGCTTGTCATGAAAGTGCTGTCACCGGCGTGTATCGGTAGCAACCAAGAAGAGAAACTGTTTCTCTTCTGCCAATCTTGTGGTCTCTTCTTCCACCTGTAAACCATGGCTCCAAGGCCGATGAACGCTCCAAACATCATTACAAACCCCGCGGTTGCAACCATACCATTTCTCCCCATGCCAGTGGTTCTACCATCAACTCCAAACTCTCCGTCAAGGCTGTTCACGGAATTGCTCATCTTCAGAACCTCAACACCGTTCAAGATTGCGTTTTTGGTCCCTGTATCTTCTCCCATGGGACCAATCTGGACTTGGAGCTCAGAGCTCATAAGTGTCGCGTTCACAACAATGTCTTTGTAGTAAGGAGCTGCAAGATCGCCTGCAACAGTGGACAAATCCAGCCCAGAAATGGCAGTCTTCCCGTTAATGTACACATTGAAGTAAAGGTCATTGAGGGACTTGCTCACGATGTCACAGAAATGAAGCCGAATGAGGTAGTTAAACGACGGGTTCGAGGGGAAATTCCAGCTGACGTTGAAATTAGGGGCTATGGTGTGGGAATCAGCCATTTCTGCAGCTGTTGCATAAACCGTCTGCGGAGCAATCAAAGGTGTAACTCCAGGAGGGTACTTGATTGCCGAAGAGGTTGTTTTAACATCCTTAGCCAAGTTCTCATCTTTCAAGAATTCCTTATCCGGTACCCAGGTTCTTCCTAATGTGTCATTCTGAGGCGTGATCAAGGGACCACCAACATTGACTCTGTAAACGGACTGGTAAGCATAGTCAGAGAGACCCGAGAAGCCATTGACTGGGAAAAGGGCGGTGCCAGAATCGGTGATCAGTTCATCTGGAGCTGACACAACTTCAATAGCATTGATGAACGCTGCAGAGCTTTTCATAGGTCTGAACCTGAGGGAGAATTGAGCATCCGTCATGTTGACGAGATACTCCTTCTGAACAAGAGCTTGGCTATCATTGTTGTTGTTACTGATTTTGAAGTTATGGAGCAACACATATTTCTCCGTTAAAACGGAAAAAGTTGCTTGTTGAAGGTCAAATTTGTCATTAGGGAAGGCGAAGAAATGGAGGCGAACCCAATGCCAACCAGGTCGGGTCAAATGGAATTTGTAGGTGGCTTCCTCACGGAAGATCCTTGCAGTTAGGTAGATAGGAGAAGCGACCTTGTCCGAAGGCGGAGCCGAGATCTGAATATCGTCCTTGGCTTCTATAAATTGGACCGTCTCTTGGTCGCTCTTAAAGACTCTCCCTTCAGGGGTTTTGGATGACAATTTGCTTCCGCAATCAATAAGTATATCATCTGCCGGTTTAAAACCGGTAGCAGGTCCCACAGCACMAGCAGCTACCGCAGACGCAATGGGGCCTGAGAGGAAGAGGAGAACAGCCAGTAGAAGAGACATGGAAGGCTTTGGAGAAAAAGAAAAGACGAGAATCGAGTGTATGTTTTGTTTCAATCTTATCTCCATCCCTCCTGGGTGG